TATGATGAGTTGTATGAGCCCCCAATAAAATGACTTAAAAAAATAAAGAAGTAAGAAATAGACCATGACCAGTCATCTCTGCTCCAATGTTTATTGCATCACAATTCAAAATTGCAAAGATCTGGAAACAACCTAAATTTCTATCGATAGATGAGTGACCTGAACAGAAAACTCTGGCATATACACACACTAGAGTATTACACATCCCTAAAAAACAGGGAAGAAGATATGAAGTACATTATTTCATGGGAAGAGTTGGAAGAAATTATGCTAAGCAAAGTTATCCAAACACAAAAGGACAAGAACAAGATGAGTCCACTGAGGTAGGTCCAAACAACCCAGTGGGAACAGAAGGAAAACTACTTAATGCATTAATTAATGGGTTGGTACACAGGCAGGGGACAGACCAAGTCCAATGATGCATACAGCATACTAACATAGTATGGGACAAGAGCGGGGGCGGGGTCGGAGGAGAAGGTGGGGAAAGACAAAGGCATTTGGGGGAACAGGGCACTAATCCACCACAAGGAGGGTACTGTTTATGTCTCCACAGGAATGGGAGAGACCAGACCTCAATCTGGTGCGCCAAGCCTTAAGGGCAACATACTGGCATGGAGCAGTGAACTAACAGAGGTCTGAGGGGCCAGCCCCCATCCCAGCTACATAGATTACCCCCTCCCCCCCTCCCCAGAATAATGCACTACAAAGGACAACACTAAATACACAGCCTGGGGAGAGTGGTAGGTCTGCCCAGACCACACAGGAGCTGTGTTAATCTAGGTACATTAGAGAAACAAATCCACAGAAACCCATATGTATAAGAGAGAGTTTTATATAAAGGGTAAGTGCCCATGAGGAAAACATCCCAACCCAGTGCTGCCCAAGCCTTTAAGTCCAATATTAGCCCATATGTCCAACACCAATCCACAAAGTCCTCCATCCCACAAAACACATGCAATGATGTCAACTATGGGAGGAAATCCAAATCAGGGAACATGTAAGCGTCTCAGCTCTGACAGGGGTCTCCACACGGCTGCTCCAGCACCCAGGGCTGCATCAGGGTAGGTCCATGTTGCTTCTCCTCAGGAATGTCTTGTAGGAAGTGAGCCTTGCAGGCTGAAGCAGGGAGCAGCTGCACCCTGATCCGACCATCACAAAGCAAGAGACCGGAGAACTCAAAAGGCGAGACTCACCGAGCCATTTATCTCTCTGCCCTTCAATTAATCCCACATGTGTTTATCGGCCAGATTGGCACAATAAACTTCAACTATTTCAGGAGCATACGAAGAGGGAGAGAGAGTTGACAGCATTCTTGCCCACTTAGTTTCAAGGATGACATTCCCACTTGGAGCACCCAATGCACAGAGGGGACCATAGGGGTAGTCTCACCACGAAGCACAACATCCCTTACTAACCCACAGCACTAAAGGGGGAAATACAAGAGACACAATGTGGGAATTGTGCCTAGTCTGACCCCCTCCCCCACACACACAAGGGCATAACACTAAGGGAGTGCAACAGAGCAGCAAGGGAAGCAAAGCAACAAAGTTCCCAAGGAATTCTAAAACTAGATTTTGGATTCAGGGGGCAGGCCTTAGAATTGCATCAAACCCTATCAGAAGACATTCATAAGGGTCAGCATACAGACCTGGAACTATTCAAAGGCTATTTTTTGTTTTAATTTCTCCCCCCCACCCCCCATGTTTATCTGTATAAGATAGGCAGGATAAACAATCTCAAGGAGATAACAACAGAACCGATGGTTCCAGGGGGACAGGAGAGAAGAAGAGGTCGGGGAAAGAAGGGGAGAACCAACAAACGCAGGGACAAGGGAACAAGAGAGCTAACGTCGATGGTGAGGAGGGCATAGAAT